ACAAAAAGCAAATAATCCAATTAAAAAACGGGCAGAGGAGCTGAACAGACAGTTCTCCAAAGAAGAAATTCAGATGGCCAACAGACACATAAAAAGATGCTCCACATCGCTAGTCATCAGAGAAATGCAAATTAAAACTACAATGAGATATCACCTCACACCAGTAAGGATCGCCACCATCCAAAAGACAAACAACAACAAATGTTGGCGAGGTTGTGGAGAAAGGGGAACCCTCCTACACTGCTGGTGGGAATGTAGATTAGTTCAACCATTGTGGAAAGCAGTATGGAAGTTCCTCAAAAAGCTCAAAATAGATATACCATTTGACCTAGGAATTCCACTTCTAGGAATTTACCCTAAGAATGCAGTAGCCCAGTTTGAAAAAGACAGATGCACCCCTATGTTTATCGCAGCACTATTTACAATAGCCAAGAAATGGAAGCAACCTAAATGTCCATCAGTAGATGAATGGATAAAGAAGAGGTGGTACATATACACAATGGAATATTATTCAGCCATAAGAAGAAAACAAATCCTACCATTTGCAGCAACATGGATGGAGCTAGAGGGTACTGTGCTCAGTGAAATAAGCCAGGTGGAGAAAGAGAAATACCAAATGATTTCACTCATATGTAGAGTGTAAGAACAAGAAAAAACTGAAGGAACAAAACAGCAGCAGAATCACGGAACCCAAGAATGGACCAACAGTTACCAAAGGGAAAGGGACTGGGAAGGATGGGTGGGAAGGGAGGGATAAGGGCAGGGAAAAAGAAAGGGGGCATTACAATTAGCATGTATAATGTGGGGGGGTGGCACGGGGAGGGCTGTGCAACACAGAGAAGACAGGTAGTGATTCTACAGCATCTTACTATGCTGATGGACAGTGACTGTAATGGAATTCGTGGGGGATACTTGGTGATGGGGGGAGTCTAGTAAACATAATGTTCCTTATGTAATTGTAGATTAATGATACCAAAAAAAAAAAGAGTAGAAGGGAATATTTCTCTAGAAATATTTCTGAAGTGCCTACTATGAGCCAGGCATTTTGCCAGTTAACTCTTCTAGAGTGGAATTATAAAGTGTTTTTATTTCTTCTTTTTCCTTCTTTGTATTTTCTGTATTTCTACATAAGTCATCTATTAATTTTATAATAGAACAATTAAACCAAACTTTTTTGTTTGCTTAAAAAAAAACTATGAATAGGTGTTCAGTTTCATTGAAAACATTTTTCTGTACCTGTTAAGGTAAACAAATAGTTATGCTTCTTTAATATGTAAGTGGAGTAAATTATTTACATTATTTTTTGGTACTAAATCATCATCTTGTTTCAGGAAAAAGCCCAATTTAGTTGCAATGCTTTAACTTTTTGCATGTTGCTAATATTTTCTTTAGGATTCTTAATCTATGTGCCTGGAGGAGATGGAGTGAGGTCATAGTGTCCTTTTCTAATTGTGGTACCCAGAGTAGGTAGGCTGGCCTTGCTCAGTGAGTTGGGAGAGGGTTCATTCCTCTTCTCTCTCTGTGTGCCATTTACCAGTTTATTGCCTCTCAGCTCCAAACCCAACCATCAGTCCCTGCCCTGTGATGGAGGACCTGCGTCCTTAAGCAGTTTTCTCTAGAGGGCACAGTGTCAGGCATTGTCAGGAGAGGGGTATGCTGGAGGGACTTTGCAGGACAGGGGACTTTTCTTTCTCATTCCCATGTACTTGTATGCTCTGCTGCTTCTTCCTTTATCAAGTGATGGCAGCAGTGGTGTGTGTGTGTGATATCGAGTAGTCATCTGTCTCCATCACATGTCCTGAGCAAAAGCCTCTCAGTGAGCTTGCAACCTGAGCCCTAGTCTGGTGACCTCCCCACGTTTCATCGGACGCTGACTGCACACCCCAGACCTCCCACCACCTGGCTGTATGAGCCTGCCTGGCCTTGGCCCACCACACATTGAGATTGTAGATACACTTGGGGCTTCTTCTGTTATTTTGTTATGTGCTTCTTATTTTTCCCACATTTGCAGTTTCTTTTTTCACCCTTTCTTAACTTTATTTTATTGACTAAAATGTTTCTTTCTTAGTTTACTTCCATCTTTACTTAATAGAAGTTATCTGCTCTGTTGGTGCTTGCCTTAGTACTTCATTTAAATTAAAGAGAATCAGTGTCTTGGGATAATCTCCTAAACATTAAAAGAGCCTTTAGACACTTTTTGAAAATTAAAGTATCATTGATATACAATCTTATGAAGGTTTCACATGAACAACTTTGTGGTTTCAACATTCATCTGTATTATCAAGTTCTCACTCCCTCATTGTGGACACTGTCTATCAGCACAGTAAGATGCTATAGAGTCATTGCTTGTCTTCTCCGTGCTGTACTGCTTTCCCCATGACCTACCTATATTGTGATTGCTAATTAAAGATTGTTAATTAAAATCCCCTTCTTCCTCCCCACTACCCCCTCCCCAACCCCTTTCCCTTGGTAACCACTAGTCCATTCTTGAAGTCTGTGAGTCTGCTGCTGTTTTTGTTCCTTCAATTTTGCTTTGTTGTTATACTCCACAAATGAGTGAAATCATTTGGTACTTGTCTTTCTCTGTCTGGCTTATTTCACTGAGCATAATGCCCTCTAGGTCCATCCATGTTGTTGCAAACGGTACGATTTTTTTCTTTTTATGGCTGAATAATATTCCATTGTATGTATGTACCACCTCTTCTTGATCCATTCATCTATTGCTTTCATATCTTGGCTATTGTAAATAGTGCTGCGATAAACATAGGGGTGCATGTGTCTTTTTTTTTTTTTAAGAGATTATAAATACATTTATTGGTAGTATTACTGAATGTTGAATGCAAAGAATAAAATACAAAAAACCAGCACTTAAAAGGGAACATTAATCTTTAAAAAATGCAATATATTTACATATGTTAACCAATTTTGCATATCCATTTAGATTTACAAACAATATAGTTAATTCTGAAGCTTTCATTCTGAATATATTTGATTTTTGGGTTCTAGTTTTCTCCATTCTAAAGTCTGCTGATTTTTGCTCTATTTAGCATATTTTCACCAAGTATGATTTATTTTCTATCTAACTTAAAAGCAAGACTCTGTGAGCTGATCCTGAAGCAGCCAGTTAAATCAGAAATTTCAATCAGCTCCTTGAGAAGATAAAGTCACATGAAAGAAAAATATCTCAATCCTAGATATTTAAATACAAAAGAGAAAAACATCAAGAAGCAAAAAGCATCACAGAAATACCAATTCTATTCTAAAGTATAATTTTTAATTCTAGCAACAATTCAATTAGAAGTAGCTTAGATGCCTTTGTTCTAAAAAATAAAACCATTAGTTCTTTCACTAAAATTTTCTGACTACATCCAAAGAATAATTATCAAGTCTTCATATTCCTTCTTAAAACCCAAGAATATGATTTATACATAACAGATTCATTAACAAAAGAGGCCTTCAAACATACTGCTGAAAGCTGCAATCTAGTTTGGGGGCCAGATTTCAACTTACATAATATTACCATTCATCACGAGTTTATGACAAACAGTACAACAGTATTCAGTGCTGTTAACTCAGAAATACTCCATCCGTTCTTGCCATCAGAGAATTAGAAGAAACGGTTATGACAACTCTAACAGGTCCTCTGAACAGGACTGTACATAAAATGAAATACTGTGAACTACAATACACTTGAAACAACATGGCTAGCTTACAGAATTGAATTTTTCACTGTTATCTTATAATAGCATTACAGAATTACAGTGAGAGTTAAACATCAGAATTATTTTCTCCGGCTAACTATCGAGTAGAAAAAGAGTTTTTTTTGCTGTATTTTTGTTGAATAGGATATATTTGAAATAAACATTTGGAAAAATTGAAAAGTAAACAAAATGAACTCCTCAAATTCATTTTTTCACAAATATTAACAACAAGCAGAGCAGTTTACAAAAAAAAAATCAAAACTATCCTAAAAACAAATCAATGTAAGATCAAACCAATCATTTTTGAAAAGTTCTGTTTCGTTTGTTACTAGACTTGAAAATATTACTGGTTTGCTATACTGGATTTGAAAAAAGCACTTCATTTTAAGTTGAGTTTCATTGTCTCCTCTATTCCTAGAGAAAGAAAATAAAAAGAGAAAAGGGACTCTCACAACAATAAAGAAGAAATCAAACTATTAACAAAAAGTAATCATATGAAAACCCCTTTTTCTTTTTCAATACCTCATTTTAGTTTGTCCTATATTAGGTTAAGGTTTCTAGCAAGGACTTTGTAGTTTCCTCCTTTACCTTTCATTCTTTATCATTTCCATATTTTTATCAAACAAGGCTATGTGTAGGCTCTCCTAAGAAGTCAGGTTGGGTCAGAGGTAGCTTTAGGATGCAGTATACTTGACTTCAGTAAGTAGTTCAAATGAACATGTCATTCCACAAGGACTACAATAAGTAAAAATGCAAAAAGAAAAATGTACAGCCCTCACTGTCTTGCAATAAGAGAAAGATTTTGTGAAACTGAACACAAACATTGGAAGCCAGGAAACAGGCATTTGCCTCATAAGCTCCTTTAATGCACCAGTTCAGGCTGGTTTTCCACAAAGGGAAGCACCCCGCTTACATAGTAGGCAATGCCAAGGGACAGCAAAGCAATGACAAAGATCAACAGCAACACTCTCCAGAAGCCCAGATCCTCCACAAACTCCTGCCAGGTGGTTCGGAAGCTGGACAGGACTCCTTCACCTTGCTGTAGGTTGGGATTAAGGAGAGAATGGCTTTCCATGGCACTTTCACTTTCAGCTGTCTGCATGGTTTCCAGTTTTGAGTGAGTTCCTCTGTTAAATCCTTTGACCTCTTGTTCTTCCAAAGATTTCAGCAATCGGATGACATCTTTGTTCACTCCCCTGCGCTTTGCCAGAACTAAGGGTGTAGCACCTTGATGATTGCAAATATCAATTTTTAGTCCATTGGAAACTAAGAATTGAATAGTATCAACATGGCCACAAAGATGAAGGGCTGTGTTTCCTTGATAATCTGTTGCCAGAAGATCAGCACCAAATTTATGCAACAACTGGCAGATGTCTACATTCCCTCGAGCTGCTGCAAGGTGAAGGCCTGTTCTGCCCCTGCTGTCACGAATATTTGGGTCAAAGCCACTTTCCAAAAGCCGCTTGGAATAGTTAAAGTCTCCATCGATACAGGCTTGTAGCAAGGGCACATTGGTCTGAGAAGAATCATTTACAAAAACATAGGACATCTTTCTGATATGGTAGATGGAAAATGCGTAAGCTTTAAGATTAGAGCCTTCTTTTAGTAGTCACTCGGCAGTTTCTCTGAATTGTTAAGAAGGTTCAACAGGATATCCAAAAATGTGCTTCGCGGCCGCAGAGGCGACAGCTGTCGCATGTGTCTTTTTGAATCAGGGATCTTATTTTCTTCTGGTAAATTCCTGTGTTAAATAGTATTTGTATTTTTAGTTTTTTGAGGACCCTCCATACTGCTTTTCACAATGGTTGAACTTTCATTCCCACCAGCAGTGTAGGAAGGTTCCCCTTTCTCTGCATCCTTGCCAGCATTTGCTATTTCTTCTCTTTTGGTTGTTGGCCATCCTAACTGGTGTAAGGTGATATCTCATTGTGGTTTTAATTTGCATTTCCCTGATGATTAGGGATGTGGAACTTCTTTTCATGTGCCATTCAAATTTCTTTGGAGAATTGTCTGTTCAGATCCTCCACCCATTTTTTAATAGGGTTATTTGTATTTTGTGTGTTGAGGCCTGTGAGTTCTTTATATATTTTGAATGTTAAACCCTTATCAGATAGGTCATTTATAAATATATTCTCCCATATTGTAGGATGCCTTTTTGTTCTGCTGGTGATGTCCTTTGCTGTACAGAAGCTTTTTAGTTTGATATAGTCCCATTTGTTCATTTTTGCTTTTGTTTCCCTTGCCTGAGGAGATGTGTTCAGGAAAAAGTTGCTCATGTTTCTAATCAAGAGATTTTTGCCTATGTTGTCTTCTAAGAGTTTTATGGTTTCATGACTTATATTCAGGTCTTTGATCCATTTCTGGTTTACGTTTGTATATGGAGTTAGACAGTAATCCAGTTTCATTCTCTTACTTGTAGCTGTCCAGTTTCCTCAACACCAGTTGTTGAAGAGGCTGTCATTTCCCCATTGTATGCCCGTGACTCCTTTATCATATATTAATTAGTGGTATATGTTTGGGTTTATATCAGAGCTCTCTATTCTGTTCCATTGATCTATGGGTCTGTTCTTGTGCCAGTACCAAATTGCCTTGATTACTGTGGCTTTGTACTACAGCTTGAAGTTAGGCAGCATAATCCCCCCAACTTTATTCTTTCTTTTCAGGATTGCTTTGGCTATTCAAGGCCTTTTGCGGTTCCATATGAATTTTAGAACTATTTGTTCTAGTTCATTGAAGAATGCTATTGGTATTTTGATAGGCATTGCATTGAATCTATAGATTACTTTAGGCAGGTTGGCTATTTTGACAATATTAATTCTTCCTGTCTATGAATATGGGCTGCATTTCCATTTATTGGTGTATTCTTTAATTTCTCTCATGAGTGTCTTGTAGTTTTCAGGGCACCAGGTCTTTCACCTTCTTGGTTAGGTTTATTCCTAGGTATTTTATTCTTTCTGATGCAATTGTAAATGGAGTTGTTTTCCTGATTTCTCTTTCTGCTCCTTCATTGTTAGTGTATAAGAGCAACAGGTTTTCCATGTACAATATCATGTCATCTGCAAACAGTGACAGTTTAACTTCTTCCTTACCAATCTGGATGCCTTTATTTCTTTGTGCTGTCTGGTTGCTGTGACTAGGACCTCCAGTACTATGTTGAATAAAAGTGGTGAGAATGGGCATCCTTGTCTTATTCATGATCTTAGAGGAAAAGCTTTCAGCTTTTCGCTGTTAAGTATGATGTTGGCTGTGGGTTTGTCATATATATAGCCTTTATTGAGCCTTTACACACTTTAACCTAATCACTTTCTCCTCATTTCCATGTATTTGGTTTTTTTTTAGTATTTTAGTTTGTTTACCTTCTTTCCACCCCACAAAGTAGAATTTCCTTTTATTGTTTTTATAGTCAATATTTGTTTAGATTTAGATTTACACACATATTTATTAATATAATTTATTAATATTAATAATTGCTCAAAATTTCTTCTTGTATCTTAGACAATCCATCTAGAATCATTTTTCTTCTGCCTAAATACATTCTATAAAAGTTTCTTTAAGTGAGGGTCAACTGGTGGGAAATTCTCTGAATTTTTGTCTGCCAAAACATTATTTTCCAGATAAATATCTTTATTTTTCCCCCTATCTTGTTTGAAAAATAGTTTCACTGGGTCTAGGATTCTGGGTTAATGGTTATTTTTTATAACACATGAAATTACTATTTTACTTTCCTCTGACTTCTGTGTTGCTGTGAGAAGTTAGTTGTCAATCTAATTGCCATTCCTTTATGGGGAAACTGTCTTTCCTTCCCCGCCTCTTTTCCTCCTCGTGGCTCCCCCTTCTCCCATGCTGCTTTTAAAAATCTTTCTCTGGGATGTGTCTAGGTTAAGACTTCTTTTTATTTTCCAGGTTAGGATTAACATTGGGCTTTCTGAGTCAAAGGACTGGTATCTTTCAACAAGTCTAGAAAATTATTAGCCATGTATGAGTGTGGCTTTCCTTCATTATCGTTAGTTTCTCCTAGAGCACCTTGAAGATGTGTGTTAGATCTTCTCACTCTGTTTTCCTATAATAATATTTATTGTGTATTTTTCCATTTCTGTTTTCCCTGTTTGGGTAATTTCTCTGAATCTTCCAGTTAGCTAATCTTCCCTCCTGATGTATCTGATTAGCTGTTTAATCCACATATGTTGGATTTTATAATACAGTTATTACTTTTTTTTTAGGGGTACCCTTTGATTCTTTTTTAAATTTGATTGATTGTTCTCTCTAGTTTGTTTATTTCTTGTATTTTCAAGCTTTTTTTTTCATTTCTTTAAATATATTGAATACCAGATAATTCATATTTTCTGCTTGATAATTCCAATATCTGATTCTGATTTCTAATTCTGCTTTTTGTTATTTCTGATGGTATTCTCTCATAGTATGGCTTTATTTCCCTATTGATTTCATGATTTTTGACTCTCAGCTATTCATTTTTAACCTATTTGTGAATATTCTTTGAGGCCTGGGATTTGTTTCTGCTAGTTTCCTGGGAACTACATAATAGCTTTTTATATTAAGATTTCTTAATTAAGAAACCCTTATATGTTGAGATTACCTGTAAGAGTTTTCTGGATCACACATGTCATGGGAATGTGGACTAGAAGAATCTTATGAATTTTGGCTTGTGGTTGTAAAGTCTCAGAGAAAAATGTTTTCCTCTTCACTGAGCACCAAAGCTCTATCAGGCAAATTTCTTCCATTCTATTTTTCATGGCAGGGTTATTTCTCATTTATATTTATACTGAAAGTAGAGCTCTGAATGAAGTTCTTGAGTGTGTGTGTGTGTGTGTATGCATGTATATATATGTATGTGTCTGTATGTGTGTATGCATGTGTGTGTGTATGTAGGTGTCTTTTATAAGACTCCACACCTTGAGTACACACTAGGCTAGTCCATTTCCTCCTTTTCTCTCTGAGGCATCAAAGTGGAAGATAAATATTGCCTGGGTTTGTCAGAAATTCAGCATGGATGGTGGTCTTGGTGTGTGTTTATTCTAAGATTTCTGATCTCACCTGGCTATAATCTTTCCTTTTGTTACCAGCTCAGCAATTGATTTTTACTTTTTCTCTTAATCTGGTTTAAAACTTTTCTTTTTTTGAGAGGGCATCTCTCATATTTATTGATTAAATGGTTTTTAACAACAGTAAAATTCTGTATAGGGGACTCAATGCACAATAATTAATCAACCCCAAGCCTAATTCTCAACAGTCTCCAATCTTCTGAAGCATAACGAACAAGTTCTTACATGGTGAACAAGTTCTTACATAGTGAATAAGTTCTTACATGGTGAACAGTGCAAGGGCATT